CACGCACAGTATGTGAACACACATCCAGCCTTTTTGAACGATTGGCCGAGAGAAAATCCAGACTCCGACAACGACTTCATTCCAGCACCTTGATTTTGAGAACATCTTGTTCCCTGGTGCAACACGTGCAGCTGATTGATGCCGCCCCTCCCCCCTCATTGCTGTCAGGTCCGACATTTTTCACAACATCATCAATACAGAGCCGACACACCAGGATGCTGGTGGAGTGGGTGTGTTGAGGCTGGGGGGGTTTACAGAGACCTGACTCCACAGACAGCCTCTCCCCTGTCTCTATGGTAACCTGTTGACATACTGTTGTTTCTGGAAGGTTTTAATGGCTCGTCAAGGCCGTGAGAGGAAACAGGTGGAAAGGCATCGAGAGAGAGTCCAAGAGTGAAAGATATGAACTCTCGGGGGGGAACACGTACCTGTGTTTTACACTGACACACACACGTGTGTTTGAAAAGTGCAAGAACAGACGTAGGTTTCCTGTATGAAGTCTCATTTTTAGGTGACAATAGAGTTTGTGGATATAAAAGCTTTACAGCAACAGTGGGAGCATAAATATAAACACACACCTGGTTTAAAGAACTGAGGAAATTAGTTGGTTTTTCAAATTAAAAATAAATGTGTATTATATATATATATACAGATACAGAAACATCTGGCTGTGTAATGCAGCTGCTCCAACTGTGTGTTTTAAAACACAAACTAGTGCTCTGGTGCCACCTAGAGGGAACGACATGACACTATACTTTGACATTGAATTGACTAAGAGGAGGATGATGTTTTCAGAGTGGACACAGAAAGTGAGTGGATGTAAATGCAAATCATGACATATGGTGATTCAGATCCTCGGGCCTAACAAATACTGGGTTTTTTGAATGCTCTTGATTTTACCTTTGTGAACCACATTAAAAACAATATTCGCCGATGTTTCATATCTATTTTCAGCACATTATTGTCGATAAGACCAGACGATTAATTATTCACTCTGAGTTGTATGTCAACAACCTGGACCCGAAAACACACAAGAAACACTGTCACTGTCCAGATTAACACATTTTCATGTGAGTTTCAAATCCTGAATTTTAAATCAAGTTTAAATGTTTTTAGTTTTTTAATAAAAAGTAGATCATCTTGATGGTAAAAATAATTATCTTGTAAATTATTAATAGTAACTGATATTTACAGAGATTAAATCAATATTTGTGTGTCATTTTCTTTCTTTCTCTTACCTGTGCTGCTTGTTTGTAGGACTGAAAATTAAAAAATTAAAAATAGCTTGTATACTGGCTTTTCTTGGTCCCTATGGTACATAATCCTGATTTGATTAATGAAGTCAAACAGTAATTAGAAACAGAAATAGAAGTAGCTGCTAGAGTAACCGTTGATCCAGCTGATCATACGTTCGTGGTCTATTATTAGAATTAGTTTGAATTAAAACAAACTAAATTATACTCATTTCAAATGGCACAAAATGAAAAAGATTGAAGATTTGGGTCTTCATCATTCTTGTATGAAACCTTTAGGAATTCTAACACCTTTCTGTGAAGCTTCTTCCACTCTGCGACTCACCCTGAGCTTAAAATAGTTTGAATCAGCTGCGTAAAAAAAAATCAGCTGTGCAACACCTGTTTTTAACGACCCCCCCCATCCTAACCAGCCATCCAGGCAAATTATAAAAAGTTACAGAGCTTCCATCAAAAAACAGAGACATGTTTCAAAAGGTTTCTTAGGTAAGAGCAACAGTTGAGTCTTGGTTTATTGGAAACAAACACAATTTTTTGGCAGCTTATATGAAGGCTTTCAAACCCGTTGTAACATATTTCAGAATATGTAAAGGAATAAACGAAAAGTTATCATGAACAAATGTGTTGGTGAGAATTCTTGAGTATACAAGAGCAAAATAAAACAAACATTTCAACCACAGCTTGTGAGCAGACGAATACAGTGAATTATGATACTCAAATGCCATTCAAGAAGTTGTGGCTTCATTAACTTCCTTTCTTTCACTTCAGTCCCCCGGGTGGCCTGACAAAAGAAGGTTCCCCTCAATCTACACCCAATCCCTGGGATGACTTCTATGATACAAGTTGTAAATTCAAGCCAAATAGTCCAGGAACAACTTGGTAGTCCAGTTGCCGTGAATTCTGACCCTCACTTCCAGGAGCCTGACTTGCCCTTGGCACCGCGGGAGGTCTTAGAAGCTTTGGAGCCCCTCTGGTGGTCGCTGACTCGGTTTCGGAGCAGGTAGATTTCGTACTTCTGCCTCTTGAGCTTCTCAGCCAGCTCGAACTTCTCGGCGTGGAGCTGGTGGAGCCACTCCCAGAGGTCCTGCGCCTTCTCCGCCAGCTTCTCCTGGTTCAGGTGGTCGATGTTGAGCGGCTTCCTGCGCTCCAACAAGGCCTTCTTCTTCTCCTCCCGCGCTGTCAGCTTCTTGCCCTTCTTCTGGTCCACCTTCTGCAGGTAGCCGCCAAACGACTTGTTGGTGAATATCTTCTTCTTCTTGGCCTCCTCGTCAGCGCGCAGTTTGGCTGCCTCCTCCTCACGCCTGTTCCTCTCCTCGACCAGTCGCGTTTGCCGCTCACGGTCCTGCTCGGTGCGGACGCGTTGCTGCTCGGCCCTGTCAGAGCGGCGGCGCTCAATTCGGGTACGCAGCGTCACCAGTTCCTCCTCCTCCTTCTGCCGGTTGGAGAAATGCAGCTCGATCAGCGTCTGGAGGTCGTTGAAATCCTTCTCCACTCTTTTGCGGTGGAGGTCATCGAAATCCACCTTCTCCCCATCAGGGAGCTTTGGAGGAGCGATATTTGGCACATAAGTCGTCTTGGGTCGTGGTTTAGACTCTTCTTCCTGCTCATTCTCCTCTGCATGCTCCTCTTTCTTCTCTGCTTCATCATCCGTCTGCTCCTCTTCCTCATTCACCTCCTCTTCTTCTTCTTCTTCTTCTTCTTCCTCCTGCTCATTCTCCTCCACAATTTCCTCAGTGTCTGACATGTTGGGATCTCTGAAGCTATCCAGCTATTCCAAGAGAAAGCAGGAGGAACACCAAGACTAGCTGGTGTTTCAGAGATGACTGGGGTCTCGGGTTTGTAGCTCAGGGGGTTTTTAAGGGTTTCGCCATCACCATGTGACCGTAGAGCTGACCACAGTCTCCAGAGTGTGGGTCAGCAGCAGGGCGGATTTTGAGACAGATGGAGTAGTCTATTTTCTCCTTCACCAAGTCTTGTCAGTCACACACCCCCACTTATCCCCTAAAGACCCCCTGCTATCGACTCTGACCCTGCAGGGCTCCTCATTCCTTTGTAAGGACAAGATGAGAGACTATTTCAGACTCACAACAGATGCACACACACACACACACTTGTGTTTTCCAGTCCCACAAAGCAAGAACAAATAACATCCATTCTTTCAAAGGCCTCTGGAGCCGCCTGCACTGACAACAGGCAGAAATTCACAAGCAGAAATATAGAGAAAAGAACAACACAACTCCTCGCAAAATCGGGGATCGTTCCAGTGACTTAAGAGGGGCCATCAATGAATCATCCAAATGTAGCCGCAGTTTCGGGAACTTGCTAATCCATCATGATGGTTTAGATGCCACCGCTGCCGAGCAGGCAGTGTTTAAAAACTTCCACTAACAAAGCAAATTGCGATCTCTTAAGCACATCAGAGCAAGCGAGGATTGTAATGACGGGAAGTTACAGCTGCCACTTTTTCCAAATTGAGCTAATACCCTGAATATCCCGGTCACAGGATATTCAGGGTATTAACGCCAACATACAAAGGTTATTTTTGAGTAAAAATAAATGACTGTGAGTGTAAATATAATATATATATATATATATATATATATATATATATATATATATATACATATATAATCCTTTTCTCTTGGGCTCAAATACTTTGGAAAGTTATTATTATTATTTATCTAAAGTTTTTCCTGCAAAAACAGCACTTGAAGAAAGACAGGCGTCAAAAACACCCTCAATTAGAAAAATGATGTGCAAGATGAGCTTTACTGCTCCGACCTCATCTCCATTTTGGAATGTAATGAAAACATTCTTGCTATCGGAGGCTTTCTGCTTTCAGCACAGAGAGGATTAAAACATAATTGCACCCACGAGGCAACATTTAAACACCAGCGTCGAGAATGTATGTTCCCACGTCTTGAGTTATCAGTGGAAAAGGACATATGCAATTTTCAGAGGATGAGATAAGTGACAAAGAGAGACAGGTGCATGTGAGACAAATTAAACAGCCACCTCCTTGGGACATTATTCTGCTGTAGATCACACATTGTCTCCTGGGCGTTATGTTTCAGTGTTGCTATAAATCTTCTGGAGCTCAGACTCTAATCGTGGCCTTAAAGGACCACGAAACGAGTCTTAAAGCCTGTGAGAGAATGTCCCACGTCTGTCTCATCCTGGAGTGGACAGAGCTGTGCTGCAACATGCCTGTGCACAACATGAGGACAGCAGGTGGCTCCATTATAATCAAGGCCCCTCGGTCACTGCTGCCAGGGGACAACTGTGTCCATCAGCAAAGACAGGCAACAAATGACGAGGGCTATGAATAGACACAGACACAGCTCTGAATGAGCTGATAGTGATACAGTAAGACTCCTGTGTGTTTAAACTACATGCAACTGGTTTAAAATCAAATAAAAACAGTTAAGACGTTTGTGAAGAGGCTGACGTCCTGGTCAGATGACCGTGATAATGAAGCGGCTTCAGGAAAACAGCAGTGATAATGATCACATCAGTGTTTCCCTTTTATTCTTCAAGAAAAGTTTATGTTGCTCACGAGAAGCAGCTGCTATGAAACCCTGGATGCAGAGTGACCTCGTCTGGTCAACGCAGTGCACTGCAGTTAACAGTGATTACTGTTGAAGTGGAGTACTTTGTGTGTTGGTTGGACACACACAGCACTCGCTGGACATATATGTGACATGGGCAGAGAAAGAACCTACTCAGTACTCTACTCTCATTACTCACCGATCACTGCCAGGTTATCACCAGCAGCTCCCATCTTCTTATTTTGTCCAGTTACCTTTAGGTAAATAAAAGAATAACATGAACTCATATTGTTGAGCTAAGTTCAATATATCAATATGAAATATGAAAACCAATCAAATCCATTCAAGAGTTGTGTCTTGTGTAATAATATTATCTGGTATGATTGGGAGTAATTGGGTCACATGACATGGAAGCTGTTGAAAACATATATATTTTGTATATAAAGAGGCGTGTCCTGTTTATCTGGG